ATTTCTTTGGAAAGCTCCTACTAAGATGAGAAATTCCCCCTTCGATGCAGCGGGGACGAGATGATGTGACATTCCACGATCACGTACAGAAGTGATGTCCTTCGTCTTGGCAATATGGAACCTTTCAACGGCCCCCGTTCTTTTTGGGGTCCTACCGAGATAGGTAGGCCCAAGCCTTTCCCCTCTCCCCTCTCTCCACAAGACCCTCTTTCTCTTTCCCTCTCGGGAAAGAAGATAAAAAAGGATTCATTTTTTTCTTTCATGTGAAAGGCCTTATCTTGTATCAAAAGTTTTTTCGTGCTATACACCACGTTGAGAAAGACCAACCTCCTATATACCGTACTCTTTTTGTACCTCGAAAGGGGGTCCTCCTTATGATGCTACGGACGGCTATCCGAAGTGCAAGGGGTAAACTCGAACTCGAATAGGATATGATTGTGTGCGCCGGGCCCTTCGGGTCTCATATTTTGGCGGGGTTTACCGTACCTCCATCCCCTATGTTAGGCGGCCATAATATTTTGTTACGTTCTACTGCTGTTACGCCAGAATAAAAGGTTCCACACGAGCTCCCGTTCTGCGGCATGGTGGCAGGACCGTAGGGGAGTGGCTCCGGGTATAGATAGGGTTAAATCTGTTGGGGTCACGCAAATACATAGGCCCCTTCCCTTCTCTTTTGGATGAATGGGGTGGTTTAGAAGGTGCTTTCCGATCTACGGTCCCTCGGAGCGAAAGGTTAGGCAGGTAGTATGGGCCCTCTGACTTCTAACTATGTGTTGTGCGGCTCCCACGAAGCGAATGAAGGGAAGCTCTTCGAGCTTCCGGGTGAACTTATGCTTATTCTCAGCCTCTTTGATTGGTAGGCGTGAGGGCTAAGCCCCCTACTTAAGATTCAATTCATAAGGCTAATTTTATGCTGTCGTGGGGCTTTGGTTAGGCCGACTACTATAGGCTAGCTACTTCTAGCTTCTATACTAGCCCTTCCACTTTGGTGTAGTTTTAGTTTGTATTGGTACTGAATGAACATATCAAACAAAGGCGAGTAGTATAAGCCCTTATCTGACCTGGGAAAAGCAGCGAACTCTAGAAGCTAGGGCTTGGTTCACCTTTGGACACGGACACTATTCCGTTCTCAGCGGAAACCCGCCTTAGAGATTAAACGGCAATAAGATAAGTCAACGTTCAATCTAAGACAGTGCTGAGTGCTGATAACTTGTAGTGAACAACCCCATTATGAAACCAACCGAAAACAGCCTTTGGTACTTAAGTATTTAAGGTTTGAAAGCCTTGCAACTATGATAGAAAGTTATTTGCTTGTTGCCAAATGCTTCGCCTTTCTTTTGAATCAAAGTAGGTCGTGATTATAGTATTTTAGTCGGTCGGGGGAAGCGGTAGCTTCATGCTCCGCTTCTCTCGTGCTTGCTTGTGTGAAGGCTGAAAGCCCTTTTTGCTAGGTCCAAAAGCTTCCCAAAAGATCTGATCCAACAGAAATCCCGCATTGAGCGTAGTTGATATGCAGCTACGGCTAGCCGATCATATTATTCCATAAAAAAGATCTATATGTATAGAGAGATCCCCTAGATATACAGATAGAATAGATGTTCATAGATAGACAGGCATTCCATTGATTCTTTATTTTTGGGCTGAAAAGGCTCGTCGATCCAAATAAATCATTCTTCTAGTCTCTCTTTGCTCCCCATCCCGAAACTGACCCACAGCACAACGCCCATTCGCTTCGCGTGCGGGAAGACAACAAAGTTTAGTTCATGAGACCGCAGCGGAGTGGAGCAGCCGCGACACGAATTTCCTTACCTTAGCTGGATCTCGCTGGTGCCACCTAAACGGTAGGTAGGCGGCGGATGTGTGATGTTTGGAGTTGTCATTCGTGCACCTATCCCCAATGGAAGAATGAGTGATCTATTCCCTTGCGGATTATGGCCTTACCACTCGGTCCCTGATGGCCAGCTAGGGATTCGGTATAGCAGCTCAGGTTCGTTTGCGCTGCGTGTTCCCACTAGACTGGGCACATATTAGCTGTAGGAAGTATGGTTCTGTAAGTGACTTCGGTTTGCCAGTTCAGGCTCAACTTCTCTCTTTACGTTAGCGGACCCATAGGTCGGGCCGGGGCTCTGCGCTCTTTCTTTCTGTGTGGGACGATACCGGGGAGAGAAGAGAATGCGTAGAGGCGGAGAACAAGACAACTACATTTTGGCTTTTCCCTCCATGAGATGAGCCCAGTGCATTGGACCAATGGATAAGAGAACTGAGATGGCCTAAAAAGCGCTTGGGCGCTCTTACGTACGATATAGACTCCATCAGATACATATCGATTTCTTTCTAATGGATCAAGAATAGATAGTTGTCTCATCAATAGATAGAAATAGGACCGCTTTGTGTAGAGATTATGGTATTGTGGAATATACCTCCACCCACATATATTGGGGTGAGGCGGTATGATCGCTTTGTGTTGGGATTGTGGTATTGTGATACACCTACACCTACGTATATTAGGGTGAGGCAGTTGGACCGCTTTGTGTAGGGATTATGGTATTGTGGAATACACCTCCACCCATATATATTGGGGTGAGGCGGTATGACCGCGTTGTGTTGGGATTGTGGTATTGTGATACACCTCTATCCGCATATATTGGGGTGAGGCGGCAGGGCCGCTTTGTGTTGGGATTGTGGTATGGTGATACACCTCCACCCGCATATATTGGGGTGAGGCGGTAGGGTCGCTTTGTATAGTTGTGATATCGTGATACACCTCCACTCGCATATGTTGGGGTGAGGCGGCAGGGCCGCTTTGTGTTGGGATTGTGGTATGGTGATACACCTCCACCTGCATATGTTGGGGTGAGGAGGCAGGACCGCTTTGTGTGAGGGAGGTTATAAAGGATCCCCGACTTAATATCAATAAATTTGAATGGAATCTCTTAATAAATTTGCTTGACGTTAACGACTATCTAAGCCCATTTATTGTTACCATGATTCATCATTTTCATGTTGTATTTTCAATCCCTTGAATAGGTGTATTTGTATTGTGTAAGTGAACGCTGTGAATGGTCTCTGAGACGCATAGGTGTATAATATGATATGTGGACACTAAGGACGGTCTACGAAATATATATGTGTAAAATAAAGGAGGAAGGTGTCACTTTCGTTGGCATTGTTTGTACATGTTGTTACAATTATATTATATTATGTATTCCACGTATAGATCATATGGCGCAGTTGATCCTAAAAGAAGGTTAGAATGATGCATGTATAATAAGACTTGAAATGTGATTTTATTGGATGTTTCGTAGTTTCTTAATGTACTTTATTTGCCTCTTATTTGAGTTACTGTACTTTCATATGTTGTTTTGACTGCCTTACATACGAGTATTATTCCACATGTACTTACGTCCCTTTTGTCGGGGGAGCTTCATCTTTTAATGGATGCAGGTATACTTCTATAGGATGATATGGATCTTTGATAGGGATTTTCTTCACTACTGGGCTTATGGTGAGCCCGTTACAATTCTTGTGGTGTTTGGGTCTAGTTCGTTTTATGTATATAGGTATCCATTGCCATAGAAGCTCCATGTACACTGTAGGTCCTGTAATTAAAGATTTGAGTTTTGTCATGTATTTATGTTCACAGTAATTACAGCTATTTATAGAGCTGTGTAACCACCACGAGAAAGAAAATTTAGGCCTTTGAGCCAAGTGTATTTAATATGAAAGGCAAGATCTTATTATGTTATGTTAAATCATGCATGAGTAATGATGAGAGGTTAATGCAAATTAGGCTTGCTCGACTGGGTTTACTCGGTTGAGCGTCGGTCGCGCTTCTCGATTTCGGGGTGTGACAAACTTGGTATCAGAGCATGGTTTAGGAGTCCTAAGGTGCCATGGAGCTGTGTCAGTAGAGTCCCTCTTATTGGTGTGTTGCCGGCCACACATTTAATAGGGAGTCTACAACGATATTTAGGAAATGTTTCTCTTTTTCTATCCTTGATCGTGCATAAAGGTTCTGAGTTAGTCTCGGAGTTCCCTTATTATTACCAAGGAATGTTTCACATCGTGCTAATAAATGAGAAAGGCCTAAGGATTAAAGTGATGACACACATGACAGTAATAATGTGTGAGGTACCCAATTTTCCTCGTAATGGAGGAAGGAAAAGCCAATGATACGACCAAAGGTAAGAAAGATCATAAAGTTGGCCTCGAGAGTCACAGTTGTTGATTTCATATATATGGTGCAAAGTGGTATTATCTATATGTTGTTTAGGATTGATTTCTGGGATTCTCTGACAGGTGGATAGGCCTAGTTACAGGGGAAACTCTGCCAAAATTTTTAAGAATTTGTAAAGATAGCCAAATTTTAAGGGCCCTAAGTAAGTTGAGATTTTGAATAGGAAGTATAAGACTCATGTAGTCATAAGTGCTTATGCATAATGGTTTGAGGTAAAAGGATGGTAACTCTATTAATATAGGTGACTTTTAAAACATTCGAGGATGAATGTTCTTAAGTGGGGAAGAATGTAACACCCCGGAAAATTTTGAAGTACTTAAGCACTATTAAGAAAGTTGATGTGCGCTAATCATATTATTTTGTGTGTAGACAAGGACAATTATATGAATGATATCAATTGATCATGATAATATATGTATGATGTGCATTAAGAATGGTTTATGGTCTAAGAAGAGCCCCAAGGCTAAGTCAAGTTGAAAATTTTATGATGGAATAAAGTTTCAAGTGAGTTCGCACAAGATCCTACTTCAAACGTATGCGGATACCAAAATATAACTACATAGGAGATGATCTACCTATCAAATTAAATACCTTTGAGTCTAGTTTCCAACACTTCAAACCGTTCATCATTTGGACACTTCTACAAGAAGTTATGACCAAATTACCAAAGGCTGGGAAAATGAGATTCTGCGACCAATTCTGCGATCGCAGAATAATTATGCGATCGCGAAAGTGCTTCTGCGACCGCAAAACTGGTCGCAGAATGGACCAGTACAGCCCATTTTTTGGTACCGATTTTGCGGTACATTGTGTAACCCGTATAGCCATTCTGCGGTCTATTATGCGACCGCAGACCTGATTTCGGAGGGTTTGGGGCATTATACACCATATTGATAAATAGGCTTTGGGGCTTATTTTGTGGCAATTATCTGAGGTTTTTTTAGAGAGAAGTGAGAGTGTTCTAGAAAGAGAAAGTAGATGAAGTGTTTTGTTCATCAAGATCTTGCCCAATCTTTGAAATCCAACAAGGAAATCTCACAAGATCTTCATCTAAGAGGTAAAGTTCCATACCCTAGTTTTCAATTTCGAATTTGGGTAACATATGGTTGATTGGGAGTATGATTCTTGGGTGTAAGAGTATTATTTATACATGCTTGTACTAATAAGGTTTGTGGGAAGATTGTTGAGCTCAAAAAAGTTAAGATTGGGTTGTGGAGTGAAGGAAATCTTGTAGAAGAACCTTGTAGTTAAATTTGCACACCTAGTGTTCGATAAAATGCTCAAATGAGCTGAGATCATGGATATCTTCCTAATTATGGTTCAATTTTTTTATGTATCAAAATAGATTGGGATTGCTAGAATTTCCGGAACGTTGTAGTAATTTAAGGAAAGTTCAAAGCGAGGTATGTTGGCTAAACTTCCTTCTTAGAATTGAATTCAATGATGTTCCCGTAAGTTTCAAGTATGGATATCTCAAGTTCCTTATTCTATGTTCTGGGTTGTTCCCAATAAATTTGAATGTCCCAAATAGGCAAAGTGTCGAGAATTATGTATTCAAAACGCATTCCGAATGTTCCCATCCCATTATGTTATCTTTTGGGAATGTGTTCAAGAATGATATGTGTATTAAAATTATATGTCTGGTGTTTCAAAGGAAGGTTATGATGTCAAATTGTGTAAGAAAATTCAATATGCTTAAGACTCTTAATTGCTCATATGTGTACCTAAAGTATTGATTGAAAATATCTTATTTTTGATAACCTATAAAGATGGTTGAAAGTGAAATAAGTGAATTGGGGATATAAAGTGTGGCCAACGTGCCAAGAGTGAAAGTTATACTTGTGGCCAATGGTGCCCATGAAATGAGATGATGTGAGAAAAATTATGAAATGAGCTTTGATTCAACTATTCTAAAATTGACATTGAAAATAGAATTTCCTAAAAGCTTATGAACTCAAGTGATGCCCATATGTGGCTATTTTAGCTAATGCTATGTTTAGTGAGTATTTTCAATGTGTTTTGCATTCTTACATATTCGTGAGTGAAAATTGTGTATTGTCCTTTTTGGGAAAAAGTAACTTAAGAACAAACGATGTGTTACTTGTTTATGATTTTAACTTGTGCTTCGATTGCCAATCATTTTACTCCATTTCTCGAAAAGAAATCCATTGTGTTTAAAGTCTTCATTATTAATGAACCTAAAGTTGTGATTTCCGGAATATTGTATATGTTGATATTTAGGATGATGAGCCATGAAAGGAAAGATATGAAAGTGTGGAATATGAAATACGCCCATTGTGCCATGAAAGAAGAATCATATGTATGGCCGAGAGAGCTAATGAAATAATAATGTTGTAAGTGGTTGAAAGTACGGATTAAGTGATATAGGGTAGGTTATGAGATGTACGTATTTGTACTTTTGTTTCCAATGTGTTATAAGCCCCTACGTTCTTGCGAGTAAAGACTATGATGTTCCTAAATGTTATAAATGCTCTTAATGTTCTATGATAACCCATGTCAAGTACAAGTAAGTGATAGTATGAACATGAAGTGTGATCGTTGCCTAAATGAGAATTTTGAAGTGTTGTATGTCCCAATGGTTTCAACTATAGTTGTATGCTTCTAAAATAATTTATGTAAATGACTTCGATTGTTAAGTCCCCAAGAGTCATGAACCTACATAATGACCTCAAGAGGTCAAGGGAGTGAATAGTGAGATGGAAGGGAGATGTCCTTTGTTAAATGATGATGAACCTTAAGAAAAGTAATTGGGCCCATGTGCCATTGAAATCGACCTATTGATTTACCATGACTGCGCTAATGTAATGAGTTGTGTTTCTCCATGATGAGCATGAACATGAAGTATTCCAATGATATGAGTAATACGACGTTAAATGTAATGACAAACTATGTCGCTTTGAGTTTAATTGTGGTATGGTGATACATCTCCATCCGCATATATTGGGGTGAGGGGGTAGGACCGCTTTGTGTAGGGATTGTGGTATTGTGGAATACACCTCCACCCACATGTATTAGCGTGAGGCGTTATGACCGCTTTGTGTATGGATTGTGGTATTATGATACACCTCCACCTACGTATATTGGGGTGAAGTGGTAGGACCACTTTGTGTAGAGATTGTGGTATTGTGGAATACACTTCCACCCACATATATTGGGGTGAGGCGGTATGAATGCTTTGTGTTGGGATTGTGGTATTGTGATACACCTCCACCTTCGTATATTGGGGTGAGGCGGTAGGACCTCTTTGTGTAGGGATTGTGGTATTGTGGAATACACCTCTACCCACATATATTGGGGTGAGGTGGTATGACCGCTTTGTATTGGGATTGTGGTATTGTGATACACCTCCACCTACGTATATTGGGGTGAGGCGGTAGGACCTCTTTGTGTAGGGATTGTGGTATTGTGATACACCTCCACCTACGTATATTGGGGTGAGGCGGTAGGACCGCTTTGTGTAGCGATTGTGGTATTGTGGAATACACCTCCACCCACATATATTGAGGTGAGGCGGTATGACCGCTTTGTGTTGGAATTGTGGTATTGTGATACATCTCCATCCGCATATATTGGGGTGAGGCAGCAGGTCCGCTTTGTGTTGGGATTGTGGTATGATGATACACTTTCACCCGCATATATTGGGGTGAGGTGGTAGGGTCACTTTGTGTAGATGTTATGGTATCGTGATACCAATCCACCCACATATGTTGGGGTGACGCGGCAGGGCTAATTTGTGTGAGGGTGGTTCTAAAGGATCCCCGACTTAATATCGATAAAATTTGAATGGAAGATCTTAATAAATTTGCTTGACGTTAACGGCTATCTAAGCTCATTTATTGTTACCATGATTCATCATATTCATGTTGTATTTCCAAGCCCTTGAATAGGTGTATTTGTATTGTGTAAGTGAACGGTGTGAACAGTTTATGAGACGCATAAGTGTATAATATGATATGTGAACATTCAGGACGGACTACGAAATATATATGTGTAAAATAAGGGAGGAAGGTGCCACTTTCGTTGGCATTGTTTGTACATGTTACAATTATATTATATTATGTATTCCACGTATAGTTCATATGGCGCAGTTGATCCTAAAAGAAGGTTAGAATGATGCATGCATAATAAGACTTGAAATGTGATTTTATTGGATGTTTCATAGTTTCTTGATGTACTTTATTTGCCTCTTATTTGAGTTACCGTATTTTCATATGTTGTTTTGACTGCCTTACATACGAGTACTATTCCACATGTACTCATGTCCCTTTTGTCGGGGGCGCTGTATTTTTTAATGGATGTAGGTATACTTCTACAAGATGATATGGATCTTCTTCACTACTCGACTTATGGTGAACCCGCTACAGTTCTAGTGGTGTTTGGGTCTAGTTCGTTTTATGTATATAGGTATCCATTGCCATAGAAGCTCCATGTACACTATGGGTCATATAATTAAAGATTTGAGTTTTGCCATGTATTTATGTTCACAGTAATTACAGCTATTTATAGAGTTGTGTAACCACCACGAGAAAGAAAATATGGGCCATTGAGCCAAGTGTATTTAATATGAAAGTCAAGATCTTATTATGTTATGGTAAACCATGCATGAGTAATGATGAGAGGTTAATATAAATTAGGCTTGCTAAACTGGGTTTACTCGGTTGAGCGCATGTCGGGCTCCTCGATTTCGGGGCGTGACATAGGCAGTACCTCAGGAGCTCCCCTGTTGCATATTTACTTTTGGGACTACGAGGCGGTACCTCGGGAGCTCCCCTACTATGTATTTACTTTTGGGACTACGAGGCGGTACCTCGGGAGCTCCCCTACTATGTATTTACTTTTGGGACTACGAGGCGGTACCTCGAGAGCTCCCCTATTGTGTATTTACTTTTGGGACTATAAGGCGGTACCTCGGGAGCGCCCCTGTTGTTTACCTCTATTTTCTGTGTTGCTATCTTTCTGTAATTTCTCATTTTCAAATTCTCAGTCATTTCATTATGTTATTATATCTTCTGCCTTGTTTCCTTTTTATTCCAGTAGGGCCCTGACTTGACATCGTTACTACTCTACCGAGGTTAGTCTTGGCACTTACTGGGTACAGTTGTGGTGTACTTATACTACACTTCTGTACATATTTCTATGCAGATCCGGGTGCTTCTTACCAGACCGGATACTAGTGAGATAGTCGTACGTGAGACTTCAAGGTACATCTGCCAGTGTCCGCAGACCTCGGAGTCCCCCTCTATCTGTATTATGTTATTTTCCTTAATTTCATAGACTCTGATGTATAGAGAGAGTTAGTATTTCTCTTTAGATCTTGTGACTTATTTCTACAGGGTTTTGGGAGTTGTAACTATTTTGAATCGCAGTTTTTATTTATTTCATATGTTGAGATTTGAGTTTCAATTTTATATTCCCTTATTCCGCATAATTAATAGTCTTACCTAGTCTTAAAGATTAGGTTCCATCACGACGTCCTACGGAGGGAAATTGGGATCATGACAGGTGATTAGGCAGGACATGGTATAACTGGAGCTTACCGAAGACATGACCCTTGATAGGGGGATGTGGAGATAGATAATTAGGGTGGACGGTTAGTAGGCAGCCGCACGTGCCTTTTCTTTTTCTCAGATCAATAGCGCTGGTGTTAGCATGGTATCTCTTTATTCCTAGATTGATGGTACTATTCTATTGTTTGATTGTATTCTTTCATTTTTGTTTTAGTTTTCCTGATACCTTGTCATTGTTACTACTTGTGGCCAATAATTCTTTTCATTTTGTCTTTAGTCGAGAATCTATCGAAAACAGTCTTTCTGCCCTCCAGGATAGGGGTAAGATCTACGTACACACTACCCTCCCCAGACTCTACTTGTAGGATCAGTGGGTTTGTTGTTATTGTTGTAAAGTTAAATTATAACCAAATATTGATAAGGAAATATTATCGTATTAAACTGAAACAAATGGAGTAATTTTTATTTCAAAAAGCTTGAATACTAAGCTTAACTAGTTAAAACTTAGATTTCTGAAGTCCCTGATTTCAATTAATTTGTTATGTATAAGTAAAATTAAGTTATTTCGAATCGTTCTAATCATTGAAACATCCTTATAAGTTACATGAGATTTGTGTTGGTGATGAAAATATTAACAATGGAGTTTTTCCAACGATCTTGAAGGTTCTAAAGAAGAAAAGGGGGTTATGTTAGATTTGGACCAAACTGACTGTTATGTCTGAAATCTTGGAAGGTCACTACAAAATATCTGGGTTTGTAAACATTTTGGGCTCCACCCGTTTTATTTCGTTTTGGGCCTACTAGAAGACTATGGAAAGAAGATGTTTCAGAAAGTAGGTTGTAAATATTATTCTATTTTTGTATTTATCTTCTAGTTTGTTATAGGTGAGCTAATAGTCTAGGAACATGTATCATAGGCCGTTATTCATATATTCCATCCTTGTTGTATATATACACAAATTGTACAGTGCAGAATTGATTCCATACAGAAAAAGAGAATTTTCTCAATCATTTCCTTTCTATTTTGTCATGGTATCAGAGCAATTATGATCTCCTTCAAGCCACATTTTTTTACAAATCCAATCCATCTTTTCTTCCTCTCTTTGCAATGGGAACCAATCCACAAATCACTAATTCCGTCGTCTCTATCCACCTGTTCCAACAGCTTCTGTTTCAGCTACTTCTGTTGGTTTTGGTCTTATGGACTCAGCTCATCCCTACTACCTCCATCCCTCAGATTATCCAGGAATGAACCTGATTTCCTCATCGTTTGATGGAAGAGGTTATGGTGGGTGGAGAAGGGTTGTTGTCATAGCTCTATATGCAAAGAACAAGTTAGGGTTCATTGATGGAACCCTAGTTATGCCAGATGTAGAATCTGGGCTTCAGAGAGCTTGGTCCAGATGCAATGACTTGGTCCTCTCTTGGCTCCTCAACTCCTTTCCAAAGAAAATGCAAAAAGTGTCTTACTCAGAGAGTGCTAAAGATATGTGGAATGACTTGGAAGATAGGTTTGGTCTGGCAAGTGGAGCAAACTTTTCTAACTACAAAAAGAATTAAGTGTTGCGGTGCAAAGTAACTCCAGTGTTTCAACCTATTTCACTAAGATGAAAGAACTGTGGGATGAACTAGATGCACTCAATACTTTTTTCTGCTTATGTGTGAATATGATTGTGGGGCTAAGTTAAAGAATACCAAGGCTCATCAAGATGGAAGACTTTTGCAATTCCTTATGGAATTGAATGAATCCTTCATAGAAGTTAGGAGCAATATACTATTGTCGTCTTCTTTACTTTCTATTGGGCAGTTATGCTCTTTGCAAGGAATTGTGCCTACTGTAAGAAGCTAGGACATAGCATTGACAAGTGCTATAGAATCTATGGCTTTCCTGCAGATTTCAAATTCACAAAGCCAAAAGTTTTTTAGAGAATAGTCAAGCAAACAATGTTTTAACCTCAAGTGATGAAGGGGATCAGAAAATTGGTATCTCAGAAGGAAAATCACTCACCCAGGAGAATGTGGCTCAGCTACTTCAGCTTCTTCAATAGTTGAAGATGGGACAATAGGGACCCAATACTTCTGATGGTGCTGCTAATGTCAATTGTGCTGGTATACCCAAAATTTTTAAATCACCTACATGTTTTTTTCAAATCAACAGTCACTCATGGATACTAGATAGTGGTGCTTCAGAACATATGTCTTATAAAAGGAAATTCTTTTCTAATCTCAAACCTCTGATCAAGCCTAGAATAGTCAGTCTTCCTAATTCTCATAAGGTATTAGTTACTCATTATGGATTAGTGGCTCTTTTCTCTAATCTGGTATTACAAAATGTGTTGTATATTCCTTCATTTAAGTACAATCTACTATATGTGCGCAAATGGTGTAAGCATCTTAGTCACTCACTCATTTTTACTTCTACTTATTATTTTCTGCAAGGCCCTTCACTGAAGAGCCCTCTGGAGATTGGTTAGGAGAGAAGTGGAATTTACATTCTTCAATCAAGGCCAACAACGGCCATTTCCAAGAGTTTATTTCATTCAAATAGTAGTTTTGTACCTAGAAAGAAATCCAGTGAAAGACAATTTGTTCATGTTTTACATTCTTGTTTCAGTTCTTCAGATCCTTATGTAAAAGAAAAGTTGTGACACTATAGACTAGGCCACATTCTTTTGAGTAATATGAGAAATATATCTAATATTCATATTTTTTCTTGTTCAAAATTATCTGTTCCTTGTGTTATTTGCCCTATGAATAGACAGTTTAAACTCTCATTTCCCTCTAGTTTTATTTCCACAAAGAAAGTTTTTGAGCTAATTCACACAGACATATTGGGGCCCTATAGCAGCCCAACTTACAATGGTAACAAATACTTCCTCACAATTATTTATAACTACAGTAGGGGAACATGGACTTATCTACCGAGTACAAAGTCAAATGCATTTCCAGTCTTTAAATCCTTTTTGGCTATGGTGGAAAGATAGTTCAATGCCAAGGTTAGGACAATAAGAACAGACAATGCTTTTGAATTGCGGAGTGGTAATTTGCAGTCTAATTTCTTTTCTTCATAGGGAACAGTGCATCAGACTCTTTGTGTGGCTTCTCCACAACAAAATGGGGTTGTGGAGAGGAAGCACAAGCATCTTTTGGAGACATCTAAATCCTTTATCTTCCAATCACATTTGCGTATTACTTATTGGGGGGACTGTGTTTTAACTGTGATATACCTAATAACTAGATTTACCTCTAAGGCTCTTTCTTGCAAGACACCCTATGAGATACTTTTCAATCCAAACCTAACTACTCTAATCCGAGGTGTTTTGGATGTTTATGCTTTATTTTCACTCTCTCAAATCATAGAACAAAGTTCCAACCAAGGGTTATACCTTGTGTTTTCTTGGGTTATCCACATGAAAAGAATTGGTACAAAGTTCTCAACCTTAATACTCTAAAGCCTTTTATTTCTAGGAATGTTATTTTTCTTCTTCCCTTTTTCCTCTATCAAGTCCGAGGAATCGGTTAATATTTTTTTACCTACTGCACCAATGTCTAGTTCTCCTAGTTTCTTCCCTGATTCACCTTACCATACTCCTGAACATTCAGACTTGCCTAATGTTCTACACTTGACTCATTTTTTCCTAATCTTTCACCTCCTAGTTCTGCACCATCTCCATCTCTTGTCAATCATTCTCCCATTCCTACTACCTCACTATTAGGTAGTGAACCTATTTTGGACAGTCTTATTAGAAAATCATCAAGGCCACATAATCTCCCTCTTTACCTTAAAGACTACATTTGCAATGCTATCCAATTGACTGATGTAAGTAGTTCCTATTTCCTTTCCCTTGTCACTCTTCCCAGCTTTCCTTTCAGTGATCTCTCTATATCCAACCAACACCTATTAAATTCCCTAACCAATATCCAAGAACCAACTAGCTATACCTAAGCAACCCATCATCCAGGTTGGCAGGAAGCTATGACAAAAGAGATAGAAGCACTTGAGCTCAATCATACCTGGTAGGTCGTGGAATTACCCCATGGTAGAAAGGCATTACCCTGTAAATGGGTGCATAAAGTGAAGAATAACTCTGATGGGAGTGTGGAAAGGCTAAAAGTGAGACTTGTGGTTAGAGGGGATATTCAAAAGGAAGGGATAGACTTCAATGAAATATTTTCACCAGTGGTGAAAATGACTACTATCAGATGTATTCTAGCTGCAGTGGGTAAGAAAGACTGGGGTATTTTTCAATTGGATGCGAATAATGCATTTCTGTATGGGAATTTAAATGAAGAGGTGTACATGAAATTTCCAGTTGATTTCATACCTCCCTATACTACACATGTTTGCAAGTTAAGAAAGTCACTTTATGGGCTTCGCCAAGTATATCGACAGTGGTATGATAAACTACCAGCTGCCCTTAACTTTAAAGGATTTTTCCATTCTTTAAATGATTATTCCTTAATTTTTAAAATGTCTGCCCCATCTATCTCTATAGTAGCCGTATGTGTTGTTAATACCTAATTTTGTCCTCATATTATTTTAAATAGTATATATACTTCCAAAATATCATTTTGCATCATTACTTAATTTATAAAAGTTATACAAGTATTTTCTATAATTTTTTTCATAATTTTTAAAGCTTTAAAATTGATTTTCTTGCATTAAAATTACTTGAATATGTATTAATTAGCCCTTAAATTATTTTGTGATGATTTAATCATCAAAATCTATTATTTGCATCCATATATATGTTTCATAATATTTTTACTTAAAAAAAAAAAAAACTCCACTAGGCATTGTGCCTAGGGCTGATTTTCATATATATAACAATAAAAGTACAACAGTGGAGGGGGACATAAACCTGACCTCCGAAGATGAAAGAACACTTAGTCGTCCAACTATGACAATCAAGTGAAACTTGAATGCTATGGTAAGTTATACCTATAGTGATGAAACAAATGTCTATCCAACATTGATAGACACTTGGGTATACAAAATCAGAGTGAAGTAAGCCTAGGTCAACTTATACAAAAGGTAATAGAGATCCTAAATCTACTAAACAAGAGAATTAGAAGATCATCTTCCGTATATAACAAGTTCTACAGCTAGTAAAATGTAGAAAATCCTTATGAGAGGAGGCAAAAAATATGTGATAGTAGAGGGTACTATCTTTAACCTTGCTTTGACATTGAAGACAAAGAAAGCCAGGTTGAAGACAGTTGACAAAAAGGCCCATGGAATTGGGAAGTGGATTTGATGTTGACTGGTTCTTCTGACAGAGGAGAGTGAACACTGTCTTACTTCGACTAACAAGGAAAGCTTAGAACTTGCAAAGTGGTGGAGTGTTCTATAAAGATCTGTCTGTTGGAGTCAATACAGCAGTATTTTGCTTCAACCAATTAGTATCTTTCCACAAATCTCAGCATCATGGATGCTAATACCAAACTCTGGAAATATACCAATTGATTGAACCTGAAGAAAATGAAACCTGCAAAAGGAAAACAGTATTAGAGAAAACTGAGCTTTAATGCTCAGATCCTTGGTTCTGTTGTTTCTGTGAGATCCATGGGTTTTTGTATTTAGGTTCTTGTGTTCACTGATGCATTTGGGGTGAATTGGAGTGGAATAGAATGGAGAGGTATTTGGCTGATGTTGGTAATAGGTGCTTGGTGACTGAGGTGATGTGGAGTTTATTTGTATGTTTGTGTGAATTTTAGAAGGTGATATGTGTGATATTGTGTTGTGATCGAGTGGTAGTGGGTAGGAGGAGATGTATAGAGGGGTGGTTAGGTTGATGGTAGGCGGTGGTTGATCAAGGTGGTGTTTGGGGTGTGATTGAGAGGAGGTGAACACTGGACCAATGCAATGGGCAACCTTTAGTAGATTGAGAACCATAGTTGTTAATGCCGCACACTGGAGGAAGCCCATTGGGTCAACTGTGTTATGCTGGGAGGTGGTGACTAGAAGATGGATTGGTTTGGTGCTAATGTGAGGGTGGATTTGAGATTTGGCAGTTGCCAAGAGGCTCCAAATTGTGGTGTTGGGTATTGATTGGACAATTAGGTTAGTTCCCCTACAGATTATGAAGTCAACCTTATCCATGAGAGTTGGTGGAAGGTTCTGTTGATGGATCTTGGAGTTTCTTAGTCAGCTTGTGTCTAAAGGCAGGGGTGCCTATTTTGTCTAAGTGTATCTGACCTCTAATATGAGCAGGGAGATATATTACGTTGGTGTAATGGATGATGGTATGGAGAGTATGGCTGATTTTGGAGAGTGAGTCAGCAAGAGTGTTGGCTTCCCTGAAGACATGACTATAAGTGATGGCATCACATTGTTGTCAAAGGATTCTGAGCTTCTGAACATTCATGCTAAGGTTCCAAGGTAGTGTTGCAACATTTGTCAACCAGTGAATCAATAGGGAAGAGTCAGCTTCAAATTAGATTTTGGTGAACCTATTGTTGATACACCAGTTGATGCCCAAGTAGGCTGTTTCAGTTTCATCTAGGTTGTTGGTACCTTCACCCAAAGGAGATGCAATTGCATGAATGAAGTCACCTTG